TCAATTTTGGCAGACATTTTGATGATGATGGGATGTTCTATATACATGCAACCAATGTAGTAGCCACTAAGCATTAAACATGTACCTAGGGTTACTAAAGAACCGAATTTGTATTTTATGTAATTTCATTTTACAGGAAGGGGTGACACTGAGGACTGACCTGAGGGCTAGAGACTTTGAAGTGAGTTACAGTTCAGCCCTTTTTTGAGACAGGATTTTTCTAAGTTGCTAAATGTCCTAGGCTGGCTCAAATTTGTAATCCTCTTGTCCCAGCCTCCCTAAATGTTGAGATTACAGGTGTGCACTACCTGGCCTGGAAGGAATTTGAACAGCCACCTGCAGCTCATGGTCATCTTACGGAACAGTGTCTGGGCCCCTTTCCTCTATCAGTCCCTTCAAAGGTATAGAAGGGCTCTGTCCTTGGTCTTTTTCCTGACTTATTCTTTGCTGTTCCCAGGTGCTTCTTCCTGTTAAGGACTCCCATATCTCTCTAACATTTTCAGAACTGAAATGCATCACCTCATTGTCAAATCTACTCCTCTCTTGAACTCTACTCAGAGAACGAATGCACCACTTCCATCTTAATCCCATGCCAAATACGGATATTTTAGATCATACCTTCTCCTTCTTTCCTTTTTACTCCCTCTCAACTTCCTCTCCTTCTCCCCTAATAGCTCATTAAATTTGACCCCCAGTTTCTGCTGCTTCTGCTGTAGGCCAGGATGCTACATAGTAAATCTAATTGAAAGAGTAATGGAGTGTAGTTTTTGCTGCAAGCATGATGTAAGCATAACATAGCTGGAAAACTCTTTTATATTAAAGCCTTTTATTCCCATTGGGAAAAAATTATATAAAAAAGTGACATAATATAAAACTAAGCTGCCATCTAAGGTAAAAAGTATAACATTATAGTTGATCTCTGATAATCTGTGCCTAAAGCAGCCTTTTAGAAACAAATCTCTCATTAGTGTTCTACATTTCTACTAGTAACGAATAAAAATGTATATTGATTTTAAAGTTTAAAATTTGTTATTAGGTTATCTCTTGGTAAAACTGTTTACTCATTTAGCAAAAGTATAAATCATAATTCAGATGTCACTATTTTTATAGATTTGGTAATTACAGATCCCTTCTCTCCCTCCCACACTTAAATTTAAAGACCCATGTACACAATTGGGTGGTACCAGGCCAAGTTTCTCAATAATGTAGTGGTCAGAAGCTCTTAGAAACTATATCCTGTAACTGACACCAAATCAAACATTAGTGGAAGGTCTGTCTTTCCTATAGGTGTTTGGTATTTGCTTTCAGGCCATCAAGAACATAGTAATATACTCTTCATCATGCTCCTGAGACTCTGCAAATACTTCAGGCACTTCCAATGACATATTGAATTACTGTTACAGCTTGTGTGCAGCTTTCCCTGAAAGCCTTGTGAACTCATATATTGGGTTTCTTTGGAGCTGGCTAGATCTAGGGTGTGTGGTACTAGGATTAAAGGTGTGGGGTAGTAAATTAGGTCACTGATTGGAATTAGCTTGCTCCTCCCTTTTGCCTTTTTGTTCTTGCTGTTTTACTGTCCTCTGCTGTCATGAATTATTGCCCTCTGCCACACCAACCTGCCCTGGAGCCAGCTGATAATGGACTGAAACCTCCACAAACTGTGAGCTAAATAAACTTTTCCTTCTTTAGTTTTGGGTATCAGACAGTTTTGCCTCAGCAACCAGAGAAAAGTAAGTAAAACAGGCATACTTCTCTCACTTTCAAAGTTAATCCTTTATTCTTTCTTTTCATACCAGTCTTTTTCCTTTACCTGGTTCCATCAATTATTTTTCTTTCTTCACTGTCTTTTTTCTTGATGGTTCCTTCCTCTCAGTCTAATAATCATACTCAAATTTCCTCAAAGAAACATCTAGTCAATGCCACCATGACACTTTTCCCTCTCTGCTCTATCCAGAATCAGTTACCAGTGTCTTTTCTCTTAAAGGAGGGTTGAGCTTCCCATCTTTTTGTATTGTATCTAATAACACCAACAGTAATATTTTACTGTAGAACAGGCAAACTTGAACAAGACTGAACTGCAGATATTCTGTTAGCATATAAGGGCTCTGATAAAAATGCTCTGTCCAATTTGGTTTCTTAAATAAATCATCGGTAGGAGAAAGGAAAGGAAGTAATATGTCAATATAATTTTAAATAATACTACTGTTCTTAGAAATCTTACAAATCATAATCATTACAGCTGTAAACACGTCAGGAAAATATGGTTTATTCCAAACTGACATCAGTGAGAGGTGCTAAGAAAAAGATCCCTAGCATGTGAGAAACTGGCGGTCAAGAGTTCTGTTATACTGAAGTGAGTATACAGGTCCATAAAATGGAGGTCATTCTTAATTTTACTACAGCAACAAATACTGCAGTAGACAAACAGTCCTGCTTCAGAGTTCGGATAGTTGATCATTTTACATTTGATCCAGCTATGTTACTGCATTAGTAATAACTCTTATGAAAAAACTACAAAGATGTGTCATAGAAAAAAGAGGAAACCCACAGCTATCACTGGTGATGGAAGTAAAGAAGTCTAAAAAGTACAGTTCTTGATCTTTAAATTTTAAAGCCATTGAAAAGTAACTGTCTAAACTGGTAATGTCCAGCTCTATGATGACAGCAAGCCTGCCAATCATTCCATATTAAAAAAGGGCAAGAAAAAACTGTTTCAATAAATGTTCCAGCCAGAATTTATCCTTTTCTTGAGACAGATTGCTGCTTTTGTAGCCCAGGTGCTTTTGTAGCACCTCAAACTTTTTCTGTCCCTCTCTCTCTTTTTCTTTTAGTTTTTTGAAATAGGGTCTCCCTGGGTTGTTTAGGCTGGCATTGAAATCATGGTAATCCTCCTGTCTCAGTTTCCCAAATATTGAGATTATAGGCATATACCATCAAGTCCAGTAGGCCTCAAACTTTTGATCTTCCTATTCTGGCCTCCAAAGTGCTCAGATTTTATCTTATATAACTCTGTAAAATAGCTTTAGGGCTGAACACACACAAGGCATTGCTTATATTTTGTTTTATTTTTATTGCAGCTCATGAGAAAAATTACATAGAGAGTGCAAATTTCAAACCTGTCTTTACTTACTAGCTGGTTTTGTGCTGCAATTTTCTATTCCTTAAAAAAATATCTAACTTGTCATAAGAACTTAAATTGAAATCAAATAATGTGTACAGTGGTTAGGGTTAAAAAAACATGACTGGGGTTTTATTAAATGTGGTAGGAGCTCAATAAATTGTAATTATTGAAAACTGTGGGGTTAAAATAAGTATGAGGATTCCCAAAGAGTTGACATAGTGGATATTTCCGTATTATCTAACTGTTCTGTGAGTGAGTTTGTCTCTTCTTCTTTTTCTTGGGAATGCGGAATTGAATTTAGGACTTTGTGCTTGCCAGGGAGGTGCCGTGCCGCTAAGCTATAGCCCTGGCCCCAAGTCTCTTTTTTCTTGTAAGCTGTTCTTTAGGCACGCGTGTCCTTTTTACTCTCCTCAGCTTTCCAATGTGATCGACTGCTCGGTCCCTATAAACAAGCCCAGTGGCTATGGCAGTGGCTGTACCACCTGCACTAACTACAAAATAAAGAAACATTCAGTTCAAATGGGACACAGAAATGTTAGGAAGAAAACTGGCACTCAGACAAATACAACACTCCCCTCCCCACTTCAGTCTACCTCACCCTTCTTAGAAGACAGCATAGTAGACAGGTGGCTTAGCTTCATTCAGAGGGACAGAGAATGGTTAATACACAGGCTGAACATGTAAGCCTCACAGTTTCACAGAAAATCATATGTACTGGACATTTTAGAGGTAAAAAGATTAATAAGTATCTCCAGGTACAATACAATTTATAATAAGAAATAAGCAGCCAAGAAATTTATATTGATTTAACTCATCCACCTACTACAAATTAAAAGGTTGTAGCCAGTCTTAGAAGGAAACAAAGTTTCAACAGTGATCTCATTTGCACCATCTTCTTTAGCTGTACACATTTTAAAATGACAAAGAATGAACATTCTCTACAAGTAAAAACATATCTAGTTCACTTTAGATACTGACTCACGATTCTCTTCTTAATATGGTTTACTGTTTTAATTTATGCCTCCACCAGAAACTAAGAAGCCCTTATATCACCTCTGGAAAATGATAAAGATACACAATAATTTTCTCCTGAGCATGACACAAACTTACTGGTATGATCTGTGGAGACAAATTGTCCTTTTTATGGATGTACCTGTCTCTTATGGGTGTACTTGTCTTTAATTTTCTCATTGATATGATGATATTCTCCTGATAAAAGTTTAACCCAATTTAAATAAAAAAATGAAGTAAAAGAATGTATAGAAGTGAGTACATGTTTATAAACATTAATTTATATCAAATGTGGCATGGGTCAGGTTACTATTTTGATTATTATCTGTGACAAGAGAAACTTTTTAACTAGATGGTTACTTTGTAGCTAGTACTGTTATCTCATTTAATATTCATAATGTTCTATGAGGTAGTCTCATCTTATAATTGAATAAATTAAGTTTCAAAGATATTGGAGAAATTATTTAAAGTCACACAGTTACTATGTGACAATTCATAACTTATGCTCACAACTATCTGACCCATTGGATTATTCCCATAACTACACTGTAGTTGCTCTGCTAGATGGAAGTAGAAAGATGAAACAATCTGCAGAAGAAAGTTAGATAGGGGCTGGGGATTTTGCTCAGTGGTATAAGCGCCTGCCTTGCAAGCATACAGTCATGAATTCGATTCCTAGTACCTGCCCCCCTCAAAGAGAAAAAGTTAGATAATATTAAATAAATATAATTCTGATTCCTGTACTAAATCATATTTGACAACTCAGTATGCAGTTGTTTTGCATTTGCCAAATATGTATCCTAGTTGAAAATTTCTTTCTTTTTAACTGTATTATAGAGTATTAAAAAGCTGGAAAACCTAGCCTTACCCGTGCTGCCATCTGCACTCTCCATAGATGGTTTACTGGCTTCTGACGAATTGTTCATTCTTGAGTCTGAAATCAATCAGAAATAAGGACTTTTGAAAACTAGGGATAAGGATAAGGTAAATGATAGCTGTGGCAGAGGAAAGAGTTAACTAATATTATCGTATGATTTAAGGAACTGCATATGTGTCAGGATAATATTTTAAAATTACAAAAGTTGGCCTAAAGGAAATCCAGGATTCTGCAGACGTGGATTTCTGAAGTTATTCACAAATGATCTTTCTAAAGGATTTTAAGATTCTTCTAATAATCCCTAACCTTAAAGCAGAACTCTTACCTAAAAAAAAGTATTAAGAGTTTGACAGGCAGAAAGAATAAGCACTTTATATATTACGTGTATGCTAAAATAATAAAACTGGGAAGGGGAAGCACCTGAAAAAGTAAAAACACAACAAAACAAAATTCCATTGTTTCCAAATGAAGTATCTTCTTCCATAAGCAAATTTACTCGTTATTTATAACTTTATAATAGTTGGGATAGTAACTCAATCTAATAGACTAAAAAAATATTTTAAGAGAAATATTTGTTTTATTTCCTATTCAACCAAAGTAAAAGTCAAAATGAGATTATGTGAAATGCATACCTAAATTATAAACCAGTACAAGAAGTTGTACCTGAAAGTGTAAAAGATATCTCTAATAATTTCAACATTGAGTCACAATCACATCCATTTAAAAATTATACTACCTTGATATCCCAAATAAATCTTCTAAATTTGAGTTTACCTATTTTGGTGCTATCTATTTAATAAAGGTTTATTTCCATAATGAAACATTTTTATCAAGCTCTAGTAGGCATCCCATAAATATACATCTGAGGCAAGTGCAACACTATTTTTTTCTGAAAGTAGTGAAAAAGATAAAGATAAGACATATATCTTGTACTATATCTACTATAAAAGCAAACACAATATTTATAAACATGTTAATTATCAAGTAAGTTCTGCCTTTTTCTTTCAAGTTAAGAACTGTTTAACAATACTTATTAATAAAGAACATTTAAAACTGTACCATATTTGATTTTTAATGAAAGTCCATATTTTTTTCTTCAGCAGAAAATATAAATGATTTACATTAGAAAATCAAAACAATCATTAGAAATCTCAAACATACTGGCCACAGCTGTATTATCTATATGCTTAAGAGATATAGAAAAAAATCAGGAATCCTTCTTACATAAATTGCACTTTCATTTAGAAACTGTGACAGCTTATCTAACATAGTTAAGTTTTATAACTGATGGCTTGTCTTACAGGCTTAGGCAGTTCTATCATTATCTTTAGCTCATTCTTCAGATTTTCGAAGGCTTAAAATTTTTAGGTCTTTGATCATAAATAAGGACAGTTCTATAACTTCCTTCCGACACTGTCCAGAAAAATTTACATACCATCTGAAAGCATACTTAGGTTTGAAAGGAACAGGTGTACAACTTAGTGAAAATCAGCTTTCTAAATGACTTGCCCAAACTTTTATGAAAGTTAACAAAGTTAACAATTTGGTAGAATAAATCTGTACAAAAGCTTAATGCTTCCTTTAGAATGACTTTTGTAGAAAAGCAGAAAAGAGTCAATCAGTTAATATTCAAAAACAGGTAACAATTTTTTCACTTATATGGTCATGGCAGGCACAAAGCAAGAATAATTCTTAGTAAGTTATAACCTTGACCTTGCATAATTCATATAATTTCTACATCCGTAAATCAGAAATTATTTTAGAAGTATTTTATGGAAATCTGCAAAACTGTCAAGTGAATCAAAGGAGCTTAATAAAATTACTTTATACAGAAAACAATAAAATAAAAATCTGATTAACAGTACAATGATGAAAATACTATTTCAATGATATAAATAGCATAATTTCAAAGTGTACAACAAATATTAAAACTATTCACCATAGATATTTTCATTACCTGCATTTTCAACTTACTAAATGTAAAAGACATGTACTAAATGTACAAAAACAAATTCTTTTTGATATCTAACTTTTTTTCTGTCGGGGCAATATAAAAAAATACAGGTCTTTCTGGACTGATTTCACATAATGAATGCAAAATATGCAGTCTACAAGTTGTTACCAAATTTCTGACATCAATTTGTTGTCAATTACACTTTATATAGTGATTTTTACTGTGGTGCACAGTATTCTACTATCTTGGTTTAGGCCAGGCCTTTTGCATACGAATTTAAACATTTCCAGAATTACCAATTTACTGTACTTCATCCTCAGCAACTGGGAAAGTGACAGATGGCAGCCTCAGTTTTCAAAGAAGAAAATGACACATAAGGGGAAAAGTTGCAAGTTTTAGACTTAAAATAGTTAACTCCTGGAGTTCAGATTATTTGCCTTTCCTGATGACTACAGTGATCTAAAAAGTTTCAGTAATTCTGCACACAAACAAACAAAACTTCATACAAAATATGGCCATCATGGACCATCCTATGTCTAACTACCAAAGTGTCTCGATCTATTTTAGTCACCAAAGACAGTTTATATGTTCAAATAGGACACTTCTCTCTCTAAAAGGCTTGCTATTCTATGGGGAAAATGCTCAAAATTGGCTTTCCAATATTAAAACTTTAGTATTCTGAAGAAAATAGTTGGTTTTTGAAAGTAAAAATGAAGGCTAATCTTAGACAAAATTTGAAAACAGCAAGTAATTTCTAAAATGTAGAACTCGATCAACACATTTAGTCACCACTGCAATTACTCTCTGTATTAATATTTATAGGAACAATTCTGCACAATGGTCCTACTTTATTTTTCACTGAGCATTTTTGTATGAGTCATTCTCATTGAGTATGCAAAATCATTTTGTCAATATGTACATATTATTTAAGTAGTTTACACTTTGTTTGATTTAAAATGTTCTTAGAGCTGAAATGAAATGTTCTTCACAGAAATTTCCAAAAAGCAAAAATGTCCTCCATTGAAGCCAAATTCTAAATTCACACTATTTACTGAAAATACTGCACCCTCAACCAGAAGAGCTGGTTGTAGAGAGAGACCTACAGCAAACTCTGTATGCCTGTGCTGTGCAAATGCTTTCCTGCTTCCCTGATCAATCCACCTCTCCCCCTCCCCAGAGCTGGTTGCATATGTGATTAAGCATTTATGCATAGTCAACCCTCCACATGCTATTTCCATATTAAAGCTCTAAGAACGAACTGAGCTGGTACCCACCTAGAACATAGTCACTGCAGTCCAGCATTGCTGTGAAATCTTCTAGAGGTGAAGATAGTCCAAAGCAAGGAAGAAACAGGTATCGGTCTGGGGTGGGGAAAGAAGGTACTACTATTTCTAACAAATCTGCAGTATGTTCTTCAGAGAACAAGAGTGGGGGAGTGGAAAGTGGATTAACAGGAGAAGTAAAATACAACTTCAGTTACACCATAGCAATCTTCAACTGAATAAGGAAACTTCAGTTGTTCAGAGGAGTTTTAGTCTCTCCTACCAGCTAGGACTGACATTGTCAAGGCAACTGAAGCATGAAAAGTTCCCCTTTTTGTAATAAAATAGAAACAAAGATTGCAGCTGGCAGTTTCCATAATGAAGCTTAATCAGTATGCGCGTGATTAGGGCCTTATGCAAATCTCTCCTCGTTAGCACAGCAGCCAGCACTTTGAAGTCCATGAACAATTCATTTACAGAATACACTGAAAGCACTCCCTGCATAATTTAAATCACTGCATAAATATTTATCAGCTCATTTGCATATTAATTGGCAGTGCATGAAGGGAAAAATTATCTCCTGAGTGCCAGCATAATAATTAGGAGCATAAAATGAGATTTCTTCCAATGGCTTGGCTTCTTGGACCTAACTTGAGATAGTACCAGGGGAGAAAGGAGGGACAGGGGACAGAGTTCTGTTGAAATGCCACTGAAATGACACGTACAAATTAGAAACAACTCTACAGACTTAAGCACCTTTAATCTTATTCCTGCTGGCAACAATGACTCCAGTAATAAGAGGATTTGCAAAAAGCTTTCTACACAATCCAAATAATCCCAAGGAAACAATTAGCAAGGTAGAAGCAGAACACAGGGCTGTCAAGATGGTGCTAGTTTACTGATAGGGAATTTTCCAGTTATTAACACACACTATAAGGAGAAAGTCCTACTTAAACACAGCAAATGTAAAAGCAGGACAGAGTGTATGAAAGTATCTTTGAGAGGACAGAAATTCATTATATACAAATATTTTTATACTAAATTAACAGAATAGTTGAATGCTACATATGATAACAATATCCTTCTCCCATCAAATCAATTTCACAGACTGTATTCAGAATATAATCCTTAAAAAAAGAATATAGATCCTTAAAAAATTGGCAATGTAAACTGTGGAATTACTTAATATTCTCAAATAAATTTCACTTAATAGGCTTGTCCTTACTAAATAACATGTATTTAATTTAACTTATAAGGTAAATCATCAATGTAAAACCTTTCAGGCATTATAATATGGCATTATATCCTAATCATCACAGAGAATTCAAGAGAAGATACACAAAAGACAAAATAAAGTAGGTATTATTATTGTCTCCTTTTTAGAAGTAAGAAAGTTGAGACACAAAGAAATAAAGGACATTTTACATAATATAATATTAACAATTTGGAGTTGGGGTTTAAAATCAGATTTGGCTGACATCAAAATCTGAGCTCTTGGCTATTATTTGGCATTACAGATGAGTTACACACTCAGGGAAAAGCGGGGTAGTGGGGTCTAAAGCAGCAGAATAAAATGGTTTGTTTTCAGTATAGTGAGAAGGAGATCAGTAATCGGTGATATAACAATGTGTACACGAGATATAAGGAAAGTTTTCAAACGTGTTGTTCTATTAATAACTTGCTTTTATTTAAAGTCTGTCTTCAAGCATGCCAGATATCTAATTTTTAAAAAATACAATATGTAGCTTCCCCAACATTAAGGTTGAAATTAAACTTGACACACATGAGGAAATGAAAGACAAAATTTTTATATTTTAGAAAGATTTCCTTGTAAGTCAGGA